TGTCAATAGAGGGCGAACTGGATGTAGTACGAGCTTCTGCCGCTAGGGGGTGCGGCCTACATTCATAGTGAATCAGTGTGCGAGCCGGCATCATCGAATTAGCATTTGTTTCTTAGTTACGGGCGTTTTGGTAAATTGAAAATTCAGCTAAAGGGAAGGAGATTTGAGACGATAGAAGAGATTCAGGCAGAATCGCAGATGGTGCTTGACAGGCTGACAAAGAAAGATTTCCAGGGATGCTTCCAGGCTTGGCAGCGGCGCTGGGATCGTTGTGTTCACTCCCAGGGGAACTACTTCGAGGGGGATGGATGAATTTAATACCTGAGATAAGTGTACGGGTTTTTATACGCGCAGTTTTGAAACCATCCGATCGCACCTCGTAACTGGACTCATTGGCGGACTTTTATGTTGACGATGATAATCTTCGGTTCCATGAAAACGAGGAATATATTGAACAGCTTTAGTAACGATACTCACCCGAGTATTGATGGCCTTGGCAGTGAACTCGTTACTTTCTTCATCGATGTCCACGCAGATCACCGTACCTCCTTGTTCCCAGAACTCCAATGCCAACTGTCGGCCTATTCCGTTACCTGCCCCAGTAATCTATTGAACAGATTAAATTAAATATCATACACCATATAAGGTCCTTAGTTATCCTCCTTCTTCATTTAAGGCGTTTTCTTGTCCAACGAATGAAAAATATGGCATTTTAAAACGATCTCACGGAGTATAATAAACATGTTCTTTGATACATCCCCATTAAAATTTAATATCTGACCTCAATGCAGTTGTGTAAAGGAGCTGTTCGTCGTTACAGACGGGTTCCCAGTTTGGAAAGTGAAATAATTTCATTATTGATCTTCTGTCACCGGTCACAAACTCGGGACACTGAAAAAATCGTGAATATGTGTCTGTTACGTCTAAAGACTGAAATTCAGCTGTCAAACCGGTTGTAGTCTAGATTAACTAGGTGTCATAGATAATGTTAAGTAATCGACGTTAAAAGACATTTCGGTCTTTATCCGACTAATGTAAAGATTATTCAGTGGTGCATTGCTAATTTCAGACGTGGTCCGTCACTTTTCTCTGCTCATGCGCAGTCCGATCACTCTAGAATGTGGTTGCTGGCGTCGTCTGTATGAGCCGAAATATTATAATTTTACTCGTCCCATCCCGAGGATAATTTGGCTCGACCTAGCCAGACTCAAATGTTTGACTTGAGATTGTTACCAGTAACCCACCTGAACCCGATGACCTTTCATGCCAGCCCGAATAAAGCCCAACATTTTCGAAATCTTTCCTAATCATTGAAACATTAATATAAGTTTATTTTAGTGTATAAATACCAATAAAATCTGAGATTATATGGGCGTTTGACGAGATGAACACATGTCGGATACCAAGTTTGTATGGAATTTCCTCGAACTATTTCTGGGAGGGGGTAAATCCCCGAGAAAATCAAGACGGTGAGATTTGTTTCAGGAGCCCAAAGAGCATAAGTTAAACTCAACTATAAATGAATTTTCTCTGTGAAGAATGGCCCGAGAAAGCCCAAACAATTCTACAGATTGCTGTCATTTGAAATGTGCCCGAACCTTGTACTGAATTGAACATTATCTGTGTTACTACGCCTAAGTCCGTGCAGACCTCGTCAAAACCGAAGGACGTCTGGTCTCTGTTTGAGAGTTATCTAGATTGTGATTAGCATTTCAAAATGTCTTCTGAGAGTAGGGCGACAAGACAAAAGTTCAGTGAAGTGTTTAATATTTTACTTTCAGTGTGATTGGCCACTTATAAGCATGGCGAAATAAATGAGAAAGTGGAAAATGCAAAACAGGAAAATAAGATGTCTCAGAATATGATTGCTTCAAACATAAAATATAAGTATTTGATCCACACGGCTTACGATTTGTTCCAGTAATAAAATATAGGGCTTACCATGAAGGCATACGAAGATTAGCATATGAGGTTGGATTATGATAAGTATCCTTACCAAACTAGGCCGTAAGAATTCTGAAAATTAAACTAAAGAGTTTCTTGAGTAAACACTGGATAGTGTGAGGTTTAGATGGTCAGATAAATTTCGGGCAAAAGTTCCGAAGTAGTGACTGATTCGCCAGTTAGAGAAATTTTGACCGGTGTTACAAATGAGGAAATAATGACTATAAATACAGTTGAAAAAACCGATCTTTACAGACGTGTAAATCGTCTCGTGTGTAGAGTAAAGTCTGATAAGTGAATATGATGACGGTAAAGGTACAATTTGGCTGCACGCGACAGAGACAAGCGACCGAGACAGGCGACAGAGTTACGAGACCGAGACTGGTCGCTTCATGTCTGCTCTCTGTACAATCGTATGAAGTACAATTATGAGCGCGAGACAAAGACAGGCGTCAGAGACAAGGCACAGGAGACCGCTCTCGGACCAGTAGTGTCTCGCGACGGGCTCAGGCAGCACGTGTGTTGTTGAGTAAAATAATGGCAGAAATTAAATTTACTGGTGACCAAGATGAGCAATTGGTAGAATTAGTATCAGAAAACCGACCACTGACCACCGATAGAAAGATCCTTCTTCACGTCTGGTTTTGAATATTGAACTCATAGGTTTTCTTTGTTTCTTTCGCAACAAATAACACAGCAACACATCATCTTCTTTGAGTAACCTTTTTAGAAGCATTTTTGTACTCGTTTTTCACAGAATATGTGCACGTATGTCTCAACAAAACAAAGAAAACAAACACTTTGCCGCATGTCTCGGTCGTCACCTCAAAAGTGTGTGGCGACAAGCCGTCTCTGTCGCCTGCCTCGGTCGCTTGTCTCTGTCGCGTGCAGCCAAATTGTACCTTAAGGCGAATATTATACGCACTTTATGTATAAAAAATATGTTGCCACAAATAGAAAACTGTGTAGAGAATGCTTAAGTGTTCAAGATACAACCTACCTCAGCCAGATATTATCTGCTACGAACATTGGTGACACTTCCAGAGTTCCTGTACTTAACATGGAGCGATAAAGAGTGCATAGTCGAAACGTATTACGTTATTTCTGTTAAAGACGGACAATTTTATAAATTTCCAAGAGATGCAGACTTCTTTCCCATGTGTTTACAAGAAACCAATTCACTGTTTGCCCTGAAAAATTTCTTTCAAATTTGAAGCGTCAACGGATGAAAAATCACTGTGAAATAGTAAATTCAAAGTCGCCTTCTGGAGGCCAAGGTTATAGAAGATGCACATACGAATCAAAATGTGTGTCGATAAGTGCAAAATGAAATCTTCAAGTGTTCTGTGCAACTCTACATCTCATTTCTCTTTATCTTGCACTAATAAATAATTTATTTGAAAAATATAGCTCCCACTGATTCTTGACCTCGGTATCAGATAGGGGTGAGTGGTCTGCTGGTCGCGCTTTAACCCCATGGAAATAACCCCCGGGGCGCACTGGACAGTTGGTTGGGTAGGACCCAGAGCCGGTCTTGACGCATAGGCTAGAAGTAAAACCTCATATTTCTGCCGGGGTTCGAAACCCGATCGTCCAGTCGATAGTTCATTTTCTCACCAAGTGCAAACTGCAAACAACGATTCAGTTTATCTTGAAACAACAAATTGTTTGCTTTGGCCCTTAATAAACTATTTTTTATTCGAATACATATAAACTGATAACTGAAATATTGTTTTCTTTTAGGTAAGATGTGTCGGTTGTTTTTAAACTCGTGGATGTAATAAGTTTCTATGCTTATGTGCAGGAAAATGTGTCAATTGAAATATTCTTCTTTTAAACAGATTTTTTTTAGTAACTTACAGGCTTATAAATGTCATGATTTTCCATTTTATGAGAAGTAATATGTATCAGTTGTATATTGTTAGATTAGAAGTTCTTTTATTTACCTGGTATAATTTTTTAAAGCCACTCCAGTCTGGCATTAGTCAAGACCATCCAGAAAATGTCCTAATTATGCTTGCTGGAAGAACAAGTCTCGCTCGACATATACCAGGATTTATGCCCTGTGCCAAGCTACGAGGGTGAGTCAAATGAAAACCGTAAAACTGAGATAAAAATTCGAAATATCGCGCCATTGTCCTATAAGTTGGCAGACATGTTACCAATGCTATAAAGAGTATCCTATAGGTGGTAGTATAATGCAGACAAACATA